CGGCCGTTGTCTTTAAAGTCTTTATTCACCCTCAACAATCCCTGATCAGTAGTGAGGTTTCGGAGACTGCGAGCTTTGCTGTCATCAGAACCATAGACCTGACCCACATCGATGAAGGCCGTCAGAGTGTTCATCTGCTGCCGGACAGTGGGTGAGCCAAAGATGTGTCCGGTGTTACCAGAACCACAAGCTGGCGCGGAGCGGGAGAATGGCATGCACTCTTCAGAGTCATCCCGAATGCGAGGATCACCTGAGGGAAACTGTTTAGAGGACATGAAACTTTTACACTTCAATGCTTCAAATGTGTTTTAGCTTTTGTTAATGTAATGCTTTAAAGTTTTAACACAGACCTCTATGGGGAAGCATGGCTCTGTGTTGCCGCAGGTCTTTTCACAATCAATGCCATCATTAAATGACCTGATGGAGGGAGAGTGAGGGGTGAAAGTGATGTCATGGTCAGTCCACTGGCCAAAGATTGTCACCAGGTGGGTGTAGAGGGGGTCATTCTCCACATCAGAGTTAGCTGTTGCCAAGATACGGTTGGACACATCTCTCACCTGAGGGAGAAATGGAGACAAAGATAACAAGTGTTGTCATCTGGACATCATAAAGGGGACAATAAGATATACTCTATGTGCTTACCAAGGGAAGAAGGTGATCGTTGACTTTCACGTCATGAGTCCAGCCTTTAGGAGAACTGATGCGATCTTCATACTCAGCAGGCAGCCAGCGGAGGAACGGGATGTTGGAGGCACCCCAGCGAGGGTTGTCACTATAAGTGACAACAATAAAACCCAAGTTTGATACTCCCATAGTTTTGAAATGTTACAAATTATTTTGAATGATATTTGCTGCTGTTGTATTTTTGGTTATCCAACTTTTGCTTCTGGCTATCGGTGACATTAAGCAAACTACTGATAATGAATATTTCCCTTACAGGTTGTTGCAGATGCTGTTTGCCGTCCGATATTTGTTGATATTGGGAAGATCCCGGCAGTAAATATTTCTGACTTGAGCAGCGCAGCCTGTCAGATTGGCGATCACATCCAGATCACCCTTAGAGATAAGGTCTAAATGAAGCATAAGGAAAGCAAATCTTAGCTGTGTGACGTCAATTCATGCAAGCAAGCCTTAAAGAGATAAATTCAGATTCATACCTGTGGCATTGATGGAGCGTTTGTGACGTTTGGACAGGTAGTGGTTAATCACATGCAGAGTGTTGGCCATGTAGTCTGCAGCGCGCACCGCCTGTCTGGATGGTCCATTGGGCTGCTTCAGCATTCTCAGGATGTCTGCAGGGCTTGCTGCATTTCTCCTCACCCGGTCAAGGCTCCTGTGTTGTTTAAATGGTTCAGGTATTTGTTCACATATTTCTTGATGATCATTCAGTTCAACATTAAGCAGCAAAAGAAAGGAAGAGGAGCAGGAGTTTTACACTCACACTTGGCGGGAGTACGTATAGGCGTCATCCACATTGGTTTTAGCCTTTTTCACACATTTTTCGATGAAACTGCGGCTCAAATGGCGTTCTGAATGCAAACAGAATCAGTTTCCTTAGTTCCTTTTTTGAACTAGTTATGGAATAGAGAAATCTTTTAATGTAACAAAATTAGGAAATCCAGTTATATTAGTTATGTCATATTTAAAAGGATGTTGTTTCCCTTTTAACAAAAAAAATGGTTACTTTAAAGTTTTACTTCTGTAATAAATCTGTTTTCAATTCTTTGTAAGACATTGGAAGAAGAAAATTACTCACTGGCATCCACTTGGCATTGCAAGCCAAGGGTTAAACCAACAGCCAATAGGCAGAGGAACTTATTCATCTCTAAAAGAAAAAATAAATATTCTCATCACATTACATATTGGAGTGAAAACATATTTTCCAATTTTGTAACTGAAAAACATGTATATTTCCCAACATTTATTATAAAACAAGCTTAGGAATGTTAAGAATGAATAAGATCACCTGCTATGAAGTTGAGCCTCAAGTCCTCAGTTGTCTGTCTGCATTCACGTTGGACTTCCAGCAGTGTCAGAAGCTACTGACTTTTGCAGTCAATATCTTTCTTTTTATACAATCTGGGTGTGTCGTTTCGCGCAGCATTACATGCTGGTAAACCTGCCAAGACTTAGACAAAGAATTAATTTAGTCCTTCCTTCTTCCTGGTTTTCAACATCCTTCCTTCAAAACTTCAACATTAAGTAAATACATACCTGTCAACACATATGCTTTTGGCTTTTGTTTTCTTTCTTTTTTTGTTTTTGTTTTGTTTTTTGCAGTTTAAAAGATACCATCAGCATGCATTTATATGTAGCAGTAAACAGTCTTCGAAGATGCAAGAGCCAAAAAGGTTCTTAAGAATCTGATGCGGTTCTGGTTGTTCATTTTTCTGTTCATGCATTTTATCATAAAGAGAATGTTAAACTGCAGATATGCAAGTTACACTGTCACTTTGCATACCTGCAGAAAATGACTTGTTGGTTTCCAGCAATCAGTGGGGAAGCAGTGTGGTACACCTCAGACAGGTCACCTGTCCATCCAGATCATTTTGGTGTCTGACTATTCTTTTTTTCACATTTTGTCCCTGTACAAATGGCTGTTTCCTGTTTCCTCTGTTTTCCCCATTTTCCTGAACTCTGCTCACTTCTTGGCTCCTTGTGTGTTCCCCTTTTTTTGTTGTTGTTGTTGTTGTTTTTGTTTTCTTTTTGTTGGGTTTTTTGTAAGTTGGTTTGAATTCTATATAAAAACTCATATCATCATTCATATTCTGTTTTTTTGTCTTGCATTTTGGTGCAATTTATTTCTCACACATCATGACACATTGTTGGTTTTGAACCAGGCGCAGTCGTTCGAAATTCCTTCTTATGTGACAAATACTTCATGAAATGATAAGAACAGAAAAAGAAAAACAACTTTTCAATCCTTTTCTGATTTGAGTTGAAGTTTGTCTGCATTTGTGCAAATGAAGAGAGACAGAATGCTTTTTTGGCGTCATATTAAAAATAACATGAAGCCGAAACATCATAGGCGAAATCGAACATTTACAAATGTAGATCCCACAAGGTCTCAAGTTTATAAAATTGTCCAGTCTGAATGACCCTCCACCCACCTCCACTACTTCAGAAGCAAGCCCCTTCGATTAAAGTTCATGATGCTGTCAAACCTCCACCAACACTCCTGTGCGTTCATTTACTTTTAACCAGCTTTTATGACTCGCAGTTATCGTCCCGGACATCATTAATTCCTCCTCATTAATTAGCTTTAAAAAGGAAAAACTTATCTGGTACTCTTTGGTCCCTAAACAGTCACTGATTGTAGAAACCTGGCTCAGATGCTGATGAGGGTTATAGGAGTAAAATGGATTACTTCAGACAATAGGAGGAGTTGAAAAGAAGAAATGCATCAAAGCTAAACCTTAAAGCTGTTTTAACATGCAGCTCATGTAAATACAATATATATTACTCATGGACATCTTGTTTTCCCTCACAAACCCCATGGAAAAATATATTTAATGCTTTGCCTTTTATCAGATGTTTAGAAAAAACACATTTGCATGTAAAGCAGCTTCTGTAATAAAGATGAATACCAGTTACAGAAGTCAGCTACTTGTTTTAGACCTACCAGGAAAAACAAGTAGCTGACAATAGCTATCTACCGTAAGTCATAGATCATATCCTTCTCATGTACAGATGAGAGAGAGGTTTTCCTCAGAGCTAAAGTCAGAGTTGAAGAGAGTTCATGGGCTGGGCCAACTTGCATGTATTCAGAGAGGAATGAGCTCTGAGATGAAATGATTGCCAGGAAGACAAGTCATTTCTAAGAAAACCATAAAAAAAATGAGGAAGGCAGAGGAATGGGGAAACAGATTAGCTTTTGTAAGTTGTATACATTTTGCTCTCATATGGAAAACTTCCATAAAAACATTATGCATGTCAATGAATCAATATTATTATCAACTTTAATGCAATGCATCAATGTATTATCAGTGGCCAAAAACTACATTATCATTGTGTCTGTCACACATGGGTTGTATCAACCTTCCAGACCGCTCTGGTCCTCTGGTTCTGGTCTGCTCTGCATCCACAGAACCAGAACCAAACATGGAGAAGCAGCTTCTGTGCACCACAAATCTGGAATAAACTTCCAGAAAACTGCAAAACAGCAGAAACACCGAGTGCCTTGAAATCAAGACTAAAAATCCACCTGCTTTTGAAACATAATTAATGAAACATTAATCAATAATTTGATGTGTAACAATGGCATTTGACAAAATGTAATGTTTCAGTTGTTGACTGTGTCTTCTATGACTGTATTTTTGTGTTTCTATGATGTAAAGCAGTTTGAAATGCCTTGTTGCTGGAAGGTGCTATACAAATACATTTTGATTCAATTTGCTTTGATACAAATGTTGCATTCCCCATGTCAAGCCACTTCAGACAATGTTTTTTACGGCTTCTTCCCTGGCCCTTTCTGCAATCCTATAGAAAGGGAACGACTGTTGCACATTTATTCAGAATCCTGTTTTAAGATTAAAGTAAATTCTGCATTTCATTTCAAAGTCCCAGAGCCTGGAGGAAGAACATTAAGGCACAGAATCCACATTGCTTTATATCCAGCGTGACGTTTCCACAGTCAGTGGTGGTTTAGGGTGTATTTTCTGATTTCCAATGTCAACACAGTCATCCACCAGGAGATTATAGAGCACTCCATGCTTCCTTCTGCTGACAAGATGTATGGAGATTCTGATTTTATTTTCCTACATGACCTGGTCCCTGCTCACACTGCCAAAGGTACCAAAAGCTGGTTTGATTGGCCAGCAAACTCCCCTGACCTAAACCCCATAGAAAATCAATGAGTTGTGGCCAAAAGGAAGATAAGAAACAACAGACCCAACAAGGCAGATGACCTGAAGGCAGCTATCAAAGAACTCTGGGCTCCATTACACCTTCACAGGGCCACAGGTTGATCGCCTCTATGTCATGGTGCATTGATGCAGTTGTTCACGCAAGAGGAGACCCAACCAAGGACGGAGTGAATAGAAAGACGTTTTAGAAGCCTGGCAATGGTGCTTAAATGTATGTTTTTGATTGGCTTAATGCGATATTCTGATTTTCTGAGACATTGAATGTTGAGTTTTCTTTATTTACAACCCATAATCATATGACCTGCAAAACTTAAAAGCTTAAAACATGTTGTTTCTGAAAATAATCTTTATAAAATGGCAGTTTCAGTTCCAACAAATATTGCACTTTTACACGATATTCTATTTATTTTTAGATGTGCTAGAAGTGTTGTTCCCTTTTCTACGGGGAGTCTACAGAGTTTAGAAAGCTATGTCCATATTTTTTAATGTATCCAAATAGTGCTAATTCCAAAAACACTGGTAAAGTTTTTTTTTTTTTTTTTTATAAATGTGGATGATTAAGCTCAGGTTACAAAAAATCTAGTATTATTAAATGTTTGCTGCTTCCCTAACTTTAGTTGACAGATGATTGTTTTTGCTGTAATCAGATCCATCAGACTGGAATGCTGCTTAGCCACACAGATCTACTTACTGGCACCATGTGGGTGTTCACTCATCAGGCAGATATGACAAAAAAGAAACTACAAGTAGACTAGTCATGAGAGTTTTCTTTTTAAGTGGTTGACCACATGGCATGCAACTTATGGCTGCAGCATATTTATCACAATGTTGCTCACTGGAAACTGTGATAAGAACCTACATAAGTTTTTGTTCTGGCTACAGATTGTTTCCATTTTAAGCGTCATTGAAAGTATTCAAAAATGATAATAGGCTAAATCTATCCATTCATTTGCTAGATCCCTTTAATCCAGGGTTGCATTGGGACTTCTGTCATTCACCAGCAGTCAAATGGCGAGACGTAGAAAACACCCTGGGCACTCTCCTGTCCTAATAGGCGTTACAGTAGCTGCAGTTCCATTACAAATGTGCGCAAATGTTTGTCTATATTCTGCAAATGTTAAAAAAAACACATATAATTTTTGCAATTGGGGTGTTCCAATTAAATAAGAAATTAAATTAAAATCACACGTGAATAAGTTTGTTCACTCGATAAGTCAATAAAAATCATGTCAGAGACGGTTGTAAACGGTTACATAAAATTTTGTGTGTGTATGATTAATGGAAATGCTGCTAATGACACTTTTGTTCTATTACGAAAAGTCAAATCAATGTCATATTTCTTTGAAATACAGTTTAGGACTTTATAAACCTGCAAATTTTCATAAATGCTTTTTTGGAAGAATTTGTGAGAGGAAGCCAGAATACCTAAAGATAACAAGAACATGAAAACTCTGTGCTCATTAACCCAGTTGAGATCTGAAGCCAGGTCCTTCTTCATGCTGTGAGGCAACATTACGAATAACTACCATACCATGCAGAGCTCAGCAGATACCACTAGCTAATATTTATAAAGTCCAGCCTCTAAAGGTAAGAAGATTCAGTGTTTGATCTGCTGCTTTGCTTATCTTAATCTGAAAGAAACATTAAAGGAACAAACTCAGAGGAACTCTGAGAAGAACATGAGTAGATATTCACCTTTGTGCTGAGTATCATTGTGTAATTATAGGAAAAGGTGGTATTAACTCAGAAGTGGTTCTTGGTAGACTTTCAGATTTCCATGTGTGAAATATTCTGAAAACCACATATTTTAGGGAAATATGTGCAAAAAGGTTTAAGTGGTATGCACAATAGATGCAAAAATTGTGTTAAACACAGCAGTCTGCACAAGCTCTTTCTAAATATTCATGACATGTTTTAAGAGAAGACATGCACACTTCTTTAACCCATTTGACAAGAAAACATTTTTGCCATCAATAGTCATCTAACTAAAAGTGTATTTTTAAAAAATGACCAATATGCAAAACTGTTTGCTTGACAAAAACTTGTGTTACAGCAATGGGTGAGCGAAATGGTTTTGCTGTTTTCAAATGTGTCTAAAGCTGCTATTTGCATGAAAGAGAATCTCAGCTCCTCACTGTACCGAATATCTGAAAACACAATCTGTCCTCACTCACTTCTTTCCCTCTTTTATCTTAAAATCGGTTCTCATGATCTTGCAGGTCAAAGTAAACATGTATCAAGTGAACAAGAAACTCCGATCTGAAACACAAGCAGGGTGTATTTATTTCACCTGAAGTATAAAATCTCTCATTATCTTTAGCACACAGGGCTCATGCTGCTGTTGNCACTTCAATGCTTCAAATGTGTTTTAGCTTTTGTTAATGTAATGCTTTAAAGTTTTAACACAGACCTCTATGGGGAAGCATGGCTCTGTGTTGCTGCAGGTGTTTTCACAATCAATGCCATCATTAAATGACCTGATGGAGGGAGAGTGAGGGGTGAAAGTGATGTCGTGGTCAGTCCACTGGCCAAAGATTGTCACCAGGTGGGTGTAGAGGGGGTCAGTCTCCACATCAGAGTTAGCTGTTGCCAAGATACGGTTGGACACTTCTCTCACCTGAGGGAGAAATGGAGACAAAGATAACAAGTGTTGTCATCTGGATGCAGTGGCGCAAAAAGTAGGCATGCAGCGCATGCAACGCATTGGAGCACTGCACCAGAGGGGGCATCAAAACCCCGTCTGGAGGGGGCGGCGCGCCGATTATGTTTTCGCATACACTTGAGCGCACTTACGCTCCTTCACCTCAGGCCCATAACGGGGTAAATCTAGCGAGTTTTACCTTCACGTACCTTTGTGTCGGAGGTGGGGAGGGGAGGGGGTTAGAGTGAGCGTATGTTTTCTATGCATCCACCTGAGAAATGTAGCGCGTGTGCTCCTTCGCCTTCACGTACCTTCCTTGGGTGTGGGGGAGAGGGGAGGGGGAATTTATGTGTTCGCATCCACCTGAATAATATGTAGTTGCGTCCCTGTCTGGATGTCATAAAGGAGAGAAGAAGATGTACTCTATGTGCTTACCAAGGGAAGAAGGTGATTGTTGACTCTCAAGTCATGAGTCCAGCCTTTAGGAGTACTGATGCCATCTTCATACTCAGCAGGCAGCCAGCGGAGGAACGGGATGTTGGAGGCACCCCAGCGAGGGTTTTCACTATGAAAAATAAATAAATAAAAACACATGTTCAGTTGTGAAGTTTCTTTGTATTTGCAGTGGGTTCCAACAAAAGCCAGAGAGGATTCTGCGTGTTTGACCCCAAATCTGTCATGCAAATGCAAAACAATCCTCACTTAGGACAAATGGGGAGATAAAAAAAAAACACTCTTTTTTGTTATACCCCCATGAACTTCTTGTAACCAAAGCTCTCTCAGATATTTTTTTATGTTGGGTTAGAACATGTAAGTCAGTAAGTAGTAGTTGCCTCACATGTTGTTGCAGACGCTGTTTGCAGTACGAAACTTGTTCAGATTGGGAACACTTTCACAAGAAATATTTTCGAGTTGTGCAGCACAGCCTGTCAGCCTGGCGATCACTTCCAGATCCTCAGTAGAGATCAGATCTAATTTAAATCACAGAAAAATAATTGCTATGATTTATGAAACAAACGAGTCAACCGGAAAGGGGTAAATCTGAATACCTGTGGCGTTGATGGAGCGTCTGTGACGTTTGGACAGGTAGCGGTTAATCACGTCCAGAGTGTTGACCATGTAGTCTGCAGCGCGCACCGCCTGTCTGGATTTTCCGTTTGGCTGATACCCCAGATTCCTGATAGCTGCAAAACTTGCTGAGTTTCTCTTGACCCTGTCAACGCTCCTGTGTGACGCATAGTTCAAACTGATTAATATCCTCATATGGAAAATGTTCAGCGTAGTGACCTGCTGTTTGTCGAAAGAACAGCATCGGGCCTTTGCACTCACTCTCGGCGGGAGTATGTGTAGGCTTCATCCACGTTGGCTTTGGCTTGGTTTGCACATTTTTCTATGAATCTTTTACTCAAACGAGGTTCTGAAAATATATTATAAGTATATTAATTCACTAATCCAGTTTCGATAATGATGAGAGCATACAATAGTAATAGTGTGATCATGTCACAAAAAGCGGGATATTTACAAAATTAACATTAAACATGACTAGATGCGGCATTTAAAATCGACTTACCTGCAGCCTGAAAGTGCAAGCAAAGGGTGAGACCCACTGCCAGCAAGCACAGAAACCGATGCATTTCTGAAAAATAGATAAATACTTTCTGTAACATGTTTAACATATTAATCCATTAGATTTTTTTGTTTATTATTAACGCAATCAACATTTTCAATTATCCAAAAGAAAATAATTTGCACTTTAAAATAAAAATATATATGAAAGATACCTGTGTGAGAGAAAGTGCAGGTTAAGGTTTCTCAGCATCTAGTCGTTAGATACCGACTGCTGCTGCTGAGGTGAGATTGGGGTTTCATGAGGTAAAGTCAAGAATTTCTTCATTCCATTGCATCTGATTTCGGGAATACATTGTTTTCTAGTTCCTCCTCTGTATCCTTATTGAAAAAGTTCATTGCTAAAAACTCACAAACACACACGTATGCACACGCACGCACGCACACACGCACGCACGCACGCACACACACACACACACACACACAAACCATGCAGACATAGTAGAATGACGCAGTGAAAAATGTCGCGATTATTCAGATAAGTGACGCGACTGATCGCTTCTGGAATGCAACACAACGAGATGTCTTTTAGATGCTTGTTTGTTTTCTTAGGGAATGACTTGCCTCCTATTTATGGATTAAGACTTTTATACTGGACAGAAACTTAAAAAAAAAAAGAAAAGAAAAACAGGCCGACACTTTGAATGTCTTCTTCTCTCTGTTTTATGTCTCCGAGAAAAGAAAAACGTTTAAATAAACTGTAATCTTATTTGTTTTTTTTCTAATAAAATACATTTTATTCAAAAATAAATTACACAATGTTTTGGGTTCTTAAAGAGATTGTCCAACTGCTGTTCAGCAATGTCATCGAGTTGACTATAAGCCTTGTCAACTATTGTCAACAAACCTTAAGCTGTAAACTATACGGCTTACAACTTATAGTAAATAAATAATAATAATAATATTTTCTGTAATTGTTTAAAAATAACCATGTTTAGAAAGAAATTAAATTATGACTTAAAGCTTTAAGTATGTTATATTGGGTTTCACTTCCTGTTGGAATTGTCTATATTTACTTCATCATTAACTTGACGGTAATTAACGGTAATTTCATAATGTGTTAATTTAATACTGTAATTTGGCGTAATTAACTTTAATATCTCTTAAATGTTCTAAGTAACTGACTAATTGCTTGAAACATCACAATAGCCGAGTTGAGACTCTTTTATTTAACATGTTTCAGGCTTTGTTCTGGTGCGAGTGAGCATTGATCCTGTTCGGGAAATTCATGTAATTTGGCTGTTGGTTATACAGTTGCTTTTTTTAATCGACAAGTTAAAAAGCTCTTTGTTGAAATTGCAAGTCAACTATTTAAATTGTGACCTAGGAAGTTTTGCAAAAACTTTAATTTGGGGAACTCATTATAAGGCGATAACTTCTCTCTGTTTTAGGTAGGATTCGGTTCGTTTGTTTTATTATATTACAAGGAATATGGAGCTTAAAAGTATAGTTCAAATGGCCTAATTGTCATGAGGTGGGGGTTGAAGTGGTGAGGAGAGAACGCTGAGACCCAGGTTATGGTGATGATGATGAATTTAATGGTGAAAATAAAGCTCCACAGTCCATACAGGCAGCACGGCAGAGACTAGCACACAGCTAAGTACCGGTAGCAACTGATTCATCAGACTCGACGGGAGCAAGCACAAACCAGGACTTTACAGTTCAACTGGCGAGTGACAAACTACAACACGACGGCAGTAGACAAACTTAGACAAGGACCCGACGAAGAACACAGACACAGGTGGGTAATCAGGTAAGTAGACACACCTGGGGAGCAATCAACGGGGAGGACAGGACAGAGACTCACAGGAACACAGGACTGAACACAGAGAAACTCAAAAATAAACACACAGAAACACGGAACCTAACACTAATTAAAAATTGATAGCAGATCTAATCTCAACATGTAATCTCAAGATAGTATTAATTTCTTTAAAAATGTACAATACAGTAGGATTGATCAGGAATGTTCTAACAATCGCTTGAATTTTTTTAAAAACTTATTATTATTATTATTATTATTATTATTATTATTATTATTATTATTATTATTACAGTTCATCCATTCACTCCCTGATTAGACAGCTGGTCATAGATTTCAAAAGAAAATAGCAAAAGGGTTCTGTAACCGTCTCCATTATCAAGTCTCAATCTAGCCAGTTAAAGTCTGGATTGGTTCTTGCCAAGTTGGGTGTGTCTCCATTGGTAGTGTGTTCCTCACTGCTTGGACGAGCAGTAACGAAACCGCACGTAAGTTTTTGTCCAATTATGGGATCTTGCGCTTGTACGCAAGATCATTGTTGCCCTGTTCAGATTGAATTGTTGATTTGCAGTTCACCATCTCAGCAACAATAGTCTTGTCACAGTTTGATTCATAGTAAACACAGTATTTTTGGGGATGTTGAAGGGAGCCAGTGTGGGAGGTGTTCTCTGGATGTCCACTGTCATGACACTGGACTCCAGATGGTTTTGACCACACCAGTGGACCAGTCCATCCACCTCCAGTCTGTATAACTCTTCACTGTCATCATTGTCAGAATCCAAATGGAAACAAATGAGTCCCATTGACCTCAATTTGTACTGGGACTTCTATAGTGACCCTAGGCCTTAGATAAAGTTTGGAGTTTACTGTGAAAGCCAAACTGTCTTGTGAAAGGTGCAATCCCTAGAGAATAATTTATATTGACTTGTCAATCCAGTTATATGTAATTGCAAACAGATTCAGAAATGATTCAATTACCGGTTAATAAAGTAATCCATCAATTTACATCAATCATCTTTTCACATTTCTTTTCTCTGAAATTTCCAATTTACTGGAAATAATTTTATGTTGTTCTTTGTCATACTTAGTATGACTGAACAGTAACATTAACCACATGTTTCAGCTACAGTCTTGTTTTAATATGGACCCAGTGTTAAAGGTGAAAAACCAAATGGTTTTCTGTATAAAACATCAGTCACATCCATGTTCATGGAATATTTCATCTGTTCATTCAGAAACAATGTATTCAGCTCTGTAAGATACCTGTCCTGAGCTTTGTTATGGATCACTTCAAATCTCTCCTAAATAAACGAAGTTCACATAATGCAGATACACATTTTATTCACGTGTTTCTGTTACAATTTAGTGCATTCTTTATTCACAGCAGAAAAGTACAGCAGTTCATAATCAATCCTTTCTTAATCGTGATCACATAGGTTCAAGGTATAATAAAGAATAGTGAGGGGGGGAAATAGACTCATTCATGACTTCAGGTTCACTCAGTTTTTTACTTCTTAATTTTGAGTGCTTTAAATAAAAAGTGCAAACTGGACGAGTATCTACTACTCAGTGAACAGCAGATGGCCAGAGAAGAAGCTGTCACTGGTCAGTCCGTTGCCGCCATTGTTAGCAATCAGCCACACCCTGTCTCCCTTTGCAAGCTTGATGAAGGTGCTGCCACTGGCTGTGATGTAGCCGTTCTGGCGGGTGGTGAATGAGTGCAGAACCAGGGTTCCATTGCGGAGCAGATCCAAGCTGCCTGCACTGTCATAGATGGTGCAGTGGAACTCAAACTCATAGACACCTGGGTGCTCACAGGTGAAAAAGCCGGTCTTGGGGTCATAGCTGTTCTGTCCGTTGTAGATGACATCATGGAAGGTGATGGGGGTACCAGCTTTGGGGAAGTTGTTACCAAGGCGCACAGAGAAGGCGACATGCTCTGCTGCACCAGAAGGTCCGGGAGGTCCAGGGGGTCCTGGGGGTCCTGGCGGACCAGGTGGCCCTGCCGGTCCTTTAAGAACAAATACATGAGTAACATTATAGTTAAGATCATCTATGGGCTTTCAAGACAATATACCGTCAGTAATAATGATGACCATATAATGAAGTGGAAAATTTACCTGGGGGACCTGGTGGACCTTGAGCCCGTTGTTGACTATCTGGATTTTGAGCTGGAGAAAATATATCAAATCAATGTATTTACTATAACTTCA